TCAAAGAAGACAACCTTGTCATCCCCAACGACCTGAAGTCAAGCAGGAAAAAGCATAGCATAGGACACATGGTGGATCTGGAGTAGTCGTTTAGCTTCCAAAGATTGTGCACGTTTTTGGACCTCTGCTGAAAAGTCTGGAAAAACCATGACTCTGACATATCGGAACGCAGTAATTTGCATTTTAACATGAATCTTCGTAGACATTTTTTATTTCTTCCAGATCTGTGCAGTAATCCAAAGTGAAACTTTGCCTCTGTGCAGGAGCTTCCTGTTATAAAGACCAGTCACTGCTAATCTCTCTCCCTGTGCAAGGTGACTGGTCTTGTCTCTTCCTCCTCCTGTCCTTTTCTGCAGTCAGCCTATAGTGGGTGTGGCCTTCTGGGCCCCTCCCACAGCTCTACTGTCTGCACAGGCTAACACAGCATAGATGTTATGGCTACCTTTACAAGGATATCACTGGCTCTGCAAAGGCAATAAGTACACACAACACTGATTTATATCCTTTGAGGCTCTTGGGAAATTATTATACAGTTTTTATAAAGCGCCAATAGTTCACTCAGACATTTAAATTAAATATATTTAAATGTCAGCTTTGGTGTTCAGCTTTAAACATAGTAATCTTCAGCATCAAAACAGCAGCTGTTTGCAACCAGAGCTAGCAAAGGGGATGAAAGAGGCCAAATTTATCTGACCAAGCTGAAAATAACTGGCACTTTTAAAAAATAGTTAAATTGTTTTAAAAATGCTTTTCCTGATGCGTTAGCTTTTGAATTGATCCTACTGCCTTTAGTTTTCCATTCAGCCCATTTCCATTGGTGACCAGGAGTAGCTTTTGCAGCAACCCCCATTTATCTGAGGACTACAAGCTGGGAAATGAATTAGAGAATTGTCAGGACCATCTACAGTACCTTGAAAAAGTATTCATACCCCTTGAAATTTTCCACATTTTGTTGTGTTACAACCAAAAACATACATGTATTTTATTGGGATTTTCTGTGATAGACCAACACAAAGTGGCACATAATTGTGAAGTGGAAGATATTTATTTGTAAAAAATTGTGAAAACCATTTATCATTTTCCTTCCACTTCACAATTATGTTCTACTTTGTGTTGGTTTATCAGATAAAATCCCAATAAAATACATTTACGTTTTTGGATGTAACATGACAAAATGTGGAAAATTTCAAGGGGTATAAATACTTTTTAAAGGCACTGTGATAGAGACTCATTTCCTGTATGATCTTCATGCTTCAATTGGGACACCCACTCTCTGGCCTGCTGAGCACTGCAGTCAGATGGCTGGTTGCTCACAAATGTGCCACAGGGGTCTCTCGGGACCCGAGCTTGTAGCACATCTGTGCACATGCAAGTAGCAGGGAGAACCTTTGCCCCACAAAGCTTCTGCATTGAGCTAAATTAATAAACAGTTCCTAATAATTCATAGACTTGAACCACCATGAATGAAATTCGTATTTGCAGTTTCTCCTTGCAGTATGTGAATAGGAGTAGCTCCAGAGCAGTGGTCTCCAAACCAGATGCAGCCCTATGCTAGTCTTTATCTGGCACTATTCCTCCCTGGGGCACTATTCCTCCCAATGCTATGAGGCACCGTTCCTCCCATTGACAGCAACACGGGGGCATAATTCCTTCCAGTAACACTAATGATGGGAAATTATTCCTCCCACTAGTATCAATGGTGGTGCAGTATTCCTCCCACTGACACCAATGATGGGGCACTATTCCTCCTGCTACTGACCACCAATGATGGGGAACTATTCCTCCCACTGACACCCAATGATGGGGCACTATTCCTCCCACTGACACCAATGATGGGGCACTATTCCTCCCACTGACACCAATGATGGGGCACTATTCCTCCTGCTACTGACCACCAATGATGGGGCACTATTCCTCCTGCTACTGACCACCAATGATGGGGCACTATTCCTCCCACTGACAGCAATGATGGGGCACTATTCCTCCTGCTACTGACCACCAATGATGGGGCACTATTCCTCCCACTGACACCAATGATGGAGCACTATTCCTCCTGCTACCAATCCTGAGGCCACATTTATTCTCATTGATGCTGACTCACAATCTGGCCCCCTACAGTCTGAAGGACATTAAACTGGCCCTGTGTTTGAGAAGTTTGGCGACGCCTGCTCCAGATGAAAGAATTAAATACAAATAAATTGCTTTAATGCTGAACTAGATTGAAAACTGGCAGTCCTTGCACAGCAGAACTGATTGTGAAAGGGAGAAGCTGCTCGAAAAGTCAATCAATCCATGTGCTATATAATTCATGCTGATGGAAGGAGAGAGCAGAGAGAAACAGAGATGGGCTCATCACTGTGCTGCTTCTCAATAGTTCATTTATAGTGTTTTTGTTAAAACAAATTCAAGTCTAGTTTAGCTATAGACTTTCAAAGCTTTGGCTTCTTGACAGGAATCTTGTAAAAATCTACTATCATATTTTCCTACGCAGCCACAAGGAGTTGTGAATGTAGAGCACTTACTCTTTTCATAAATCCGAGAGTTTCACAGGCAAAAATGTTTGTAGTCAGTGTGTAGGGTTTTCATGCTAAACATCCAATGAGCTAAATTATGGTACATGGAGGGGCTTATTCAGCTTCCAGGTTTCATTGTGAAAGCTTAATTGAAGAAGCTGAAGTTAGAAGCTGATTGATTACTATGCAGAACTGCTCCAGATTCTGAGTGCTTCAGTTTTAGTAAATTTCTTCCTATGTGACAATTGAAAAGAGAACCCAAAAATGAGGTTCACACCAGTGCTGCTGCATTATCATGTGTTTTTTCAGTGTCTTTTTTTTGTAGCTTGTTATTGCATAATTTTACAGAAGTTTTTCTTTATGTGTGTTCAGGCTTCATGCATTTTTTTGGATACTGCTTGTTAAACACAAAACTCAGCCAAAAAAATATGTACACTTTTTTTAACCACCTGCCCTCCAGAGGATTTACCCCTCTTCCTAGCCAGGCCATTTTTTGCGTTACGGTGCCGCGGTCATACAACGCTTGACCCAAATGAAATTTACGTCTTTTTTCCCACAAATAGATCTTTCTTTTGGTGGTATTTGATTGCCTGTGCGATTTTTATTTTTTTGCACTATAGAAGAAAAAAGACCGACAATTTTGAGAAAAAAACAATTTTTTGACTTTTTGCTATTAAACATGTCCAGTAAAAAAAATCTTTAAAACCAAATTTCATCATAATGTATTCTGCTCCCATGTCTTTGCTAAAAGAAAATCCCAATACGAGTAAATTAATTGGTTTACGTGAAAGTTATAATGTTTACAAATGGCAATATATTACAGTGGGGATGGAAAGTTTGGGCACCCCAGCTAAAAATTTGTATTAATGTGCATAAAGAAGCCAAGGAAAGATGGAAAAATCTCCAAAAGGCATCAAATTACAGATTAGACATTCTTATAATATGTCAACAAAAGTTAGATTTTATTTCCATCATTTACACTTTCAAAATAACAAAAAACAAAAAAATGGCGTCTGCAAAAGTTTGGGCACTCTGCAGAATTTATAGCATGCACTGCCCCCTTTGCCAAGCTGAGACCTGCCAGTGTCATGGATTGTTCTCAATCATCGTCTGGGAAGACCAGGTGATGTCAATCTCAAAGGTTTTAAATGCCCAGACTCATCTGACCTTGCCCCAACAATCAGCACCATGGGTTCTTCTAAGCAGTTGTCTAGAAAACTGAAACTGAAAATAGTTGACGCTTACAAAGCTGGAGAAGGCTATAAGAAGATAGCAAAGCGTTTTCAGATGTCAATATCCTCTGTTCGGAATGTAATTAAGAAATGGCAGTCATCGGGAACAGTGGAAGTTAAAGCAAGATCTAGAAGACCAAGAAAAATATCAGGCAGAACAGCTCGCAGGATTGTGAGAAAAACAATTGAAAACCCACGTTTGACTGCACGATCCCTCCAGAAAGATCTGGCAGACACTGGAGTTGTGGTACACTATTCCACTACAAAGAGATACTTGTACAAATATGGTCTTCATGGAAGAGTCATCAGAAGAAAACCTCTTCTACGTCCTCACCACAAAAATCATCGTTTGAACTTTGCAAATGAACATATAGACAAGCCTGATGCATTTTGGAAACAAGTTCTGTGGACCGATGAGGTTAAAATTGAACTTTTTGGCCGGAATGAGCAAAGGTACGTTTGGAGAAGAAGGGGCACAGAATTTAATGAAAAGAACCTCTGTCCAACTGTTAAGCATGGGGTTGGATCAATCATGCTTTGGGGTTGTGTTGCAGCCAGTGGCACAGGGAACATCTCACGAGTAGAAGGAAAAATGGATTCAATAAAATTTCAGCAAATTTTGGATGGTAACTTGATGCCATCTGTGAAAAGCTGAAGTTAAAAAGAGGATGGCTTCTACAAATTGGTAATGATCCTAAACACACCTCAAAATCCATGGGGGATTACATCAAGAGGCATAAACTGAAGGTTTTGCCATGGCCTTCACAATCTCCTGACCTCAACATAATTGAAAATCTATGGATAGACCTTAAAAGAGCAGTGCGTGACAGACAGCCCAGAAATCTCAAAGAACTGGAAGACTTTTGTAAGGAAGAATAGGCAAAGATACCTCAAACAAGAATTGAAAGACTCTTGTCTGGCTACAAAAAGCGTTTACAAGCTGTGATACTTGGCAAAGGGGGCAGTACAAGATATTAACTCTGCAGGGTGCCCAAACTTTTGCAGACGCCATTTTTTTGTTTTCTGTTATTTTGAAAGTGTAAATGATGGAAATAAAATCTAACTTTTGTTGACATATTATAAGAATGTCTAATCTGACAATTTGATGCCTTTTGGAGATTTTTCCATCTTTCCTTGGCTTCTTTATGCACATTAATACAAATTTTTAGCTGGGGTGCCCAAACTTTCGATCCCCACTGTATACTGGGATTTTTTATTTTTTATTTTTACTAGTAATGGCGGAGATCAGTTACTTATAGCGGGACTCCGGCGGGCATTCTGACACTGGGGGGAACTGACTTGGTGTCACTGACATCCCCAGTGACACCAAATAAATGATCAGTGTTAGTAAAAAGCACTGACACTGTACTAATGGCACTGGGCAGGAAGGGGTTAACATGTGCAGCGATCAAAGGGTTAGCTGTGTGCTGTTTTGCATACTGGGCTGTGTTTGTGCTTCACTGTAAGCACACTACTTTGCATGGCTGTGTTGTGACCTGCAGCATGACAGCAGATGTAGGAGAAATCGCGCAAGTGTAAACAGGGTCTTAGTTCTGTTTGAAAGCCTGTGTACTTGGGTAAAGTGACATGTAGCGCTCACCCCTGAAGGAGCCGCTGAGTATTGGGTCCCCCTTTATTCTGCACAGCCAGGCAACAAGCGCTTTCCAACTTCCATTTAGAGTCAGTAACCAGTCCATGAGCTTGTTTTTGTTGCTTTATTTAGCGGAAACAAATTGGATTGGGTTTAGGGGTATATGGGATGCCCAACTTGACTTGCAGTAATAGCTCTGAGGACAAACTTCCTAATTCTCTCCAAAAATTGTAAATCCTGAACTTTCTAGTTCAGCCAGAGCAGTACAGTTTCTTGATAAATCAATAACACAGTCTTTGTGAGAAGCAGCTAGTCCCCCTCTCAGTGAAATCTTTTCAGAAATGTGCATCCACCTGGCTGTCTTTCGAAGAACATCTTGGAGCAAGAGATTCTAAGACAGGCATGCAGCACTGTCCCAGGGAGAACATAGCAGCCCTCTCTCTTGTAGGCTCCAGGGGTTTAGAGCTACTCACACTGTCCTTGTATTCTGTAGCTGTGGGTAAACTGTGTTCAGGTTTTTCATGGAGCCAGTTTCTGTCCTCGCTTGCAGGCTATCCTTCCCCGATGGACTGTAAGCCAGTGGAGGTCCCTGTGTCAGCTTCCTTTCCTTTCCTCCAGCCTGGAGGCAGAGCCCCCTTCTCCAGGGCCCCCTCCCAGACCACACAGCAGCACCTTCAGTAATCCATCTTCCACCCTACTCCCCTGCTGGCATGGCTCTTTCATATTTATGGGCCGTTCTTCCCACACTGCCAGGACCTCCTGCTTGGGATTGTTCAGACTCCCATAAATATGCAGATCCAGGTCTCCACCCCTCCACCCACTGGCTTCTGAAAGTTTCCATGGGCCCTCAGAACCAAGGGGAGGCGATAGAGGCCCAACCTGCTGAGTCATTCAGAACAGAGACAAGCCACAAGGACATATCACAAAATATGATAAACTTGCTTGATTTAAAGTTTCTGCCCCTCCGAACTGTGGATTTCTCTCTCTATGAAACTATAGGAGCAATGGTACACAGGAACTTCCTGTACTCCCATGCATCATTAGTTCCATTTTCCAAAATATATAATGGAGCTGGTGCTGCTCTAAGGTGGTATTAAAAACCCCAAAACAAAGATGTAATATATGGCAGCTTACAAATGCTTCACTGTAGTGGCTAGTTTTCTATTCCCTATATTTTCACCTTGTGATCCAGTCAGTAACAGATGCCTGTCTCAGGGGGTCTCCACTCTGGATGAAGGAGCAACGGAGTCATACTTTAACAGCAGCATTGTCAATTTGTGAAGAGGGTAGTGTTAGATGCGTTAACAGATTTAGATGGGCTTGGCTAACAGATTAAAGACAAAGTCCAGCTAACACATTTTCAGCAATAGCTTTATTTTCCTTTTTTGGATAAAAGTTTTATAAAAATAAATACAAGTTGACCATTGTAAGCACCTTTGCCAGTGTTAGTCACTTGCCAACCAGGTCCATTCTGACACTTCTCACATACATGTTAAAATCTACATTTTTTTGCTAGAAAATTACTTAGAACCCTCAAGCATTTTCTATATATATAAAATTTATTTTTTTTCAGCAGAGGTCCTATAGAATAAAATGGTAGGTTTTGCAATTTTTTAAGTCACACGGTATCTGCACAGCAGTTTTTCAAAGGCAATTTTTTGGGGGCAAAAGAAGGCACAGCCTGCAGAAGTGATCACTTCTGACTAAACGCCCATCACTGTTTGAACATTTTGATACCCGGATGATGCCTGTAGCTGCAGGCATCATCCTAGTATAACCACTGCAAGCTGAGGAGGCCGTATAACGTCCTACAGTCAGCAAGTGGTTAAATGGTTTGTCTCAACCCACTTCCACTTTTGCTGGACAGCTTGGAATGTTAAAGGAAGCTGGTAAAATAACAGACTTAATCATTGGGTGACAATAAAAGAAAAAAGCCTAAAAAAGAAAAAGGAATACATAAACCACATTTAGAAACTGCTAAGCTGCTATATAATACTTTTTTTTGTTTTTGGAATCAATGCCTCTTTAAATGTTTTCTGTGCTGCATTGATTGGGAGTACAAACAGCCTCCTTGGAGTTAGATCAAATGACAAGGCAAAGTAAAGAACATTTTTAACATATTTAAAAAAATAAGTGCACTTTCAGCACTTAGGCCTCATTCACACAGGGTGATTACATTTATGGTTGATGCAGGGCCATATTTTTCCACCATGGGGATGAACCCAGTGTCGGCAGTCCCATTACAGTCTATTGGGATGCAATGGCTGCAAAGGATGCAGCCGCTGCTCCCAATGTGACATCTGTGTGGGTGCAGATGAACAGCCCTGAGCACATCAGCAGCTGTTTTGGAAGCAGTGACTGTGCCCGTGCAACAACTCTGTCCCAATAGACAACAATGGGACTGCTGGAACGGGATGTATGCAACACCTGTTCATCCCCATTACGATAAAACACGGTTCTGCATGAGGCATGGATTAAAACACCCCGTGTAAATGAGTCCTTAGTCTTTATTCTCATATGTCCTGAATCCTAAGAAACAAGGGGTTCCATTTTGAGGACCCATTCACATTGGAACCAAAAGTGCTAGAGCATACTAATTTTCATGTGTTAAGGTTTGTTGCTATACACTGTTAGGCAGACCATTAGAAATGAATGGGCTGTAGCATATCACAATGCACAAAAATGTATGTTGTGCTGCATTTTATTTGCTGAGCAGCATACATCAATGTGCATTATGCATAGAGGTGCCCTGCGGTGCATTGTAATCCAGGTGCATTATGCATAGAGGTGCCCTGCAGCGCATTGTAATCCAGGTGCATTATGCATAGTGGTGCCCTGTGGCGCATTGTAATCCAGGTGCATTATGCATAGTGGTGCCCTGTGGTGCATTGTAATCCAGGTGCATTATGCATAGTGGTGCCTTGTGGTGCATTGTAATTCAGGTGGATTATGCATAGTGGTGCCCTGTGGTGCATTGTAATTCAGGTGGATTATGCATAGTGGTGCCCTGTGGTGCATTATGCATAGTGGTGCCCTGTGGTGCATTGTAATCCAGGTGCATTATGCACAGTGGTGCCCTGTAGTGCAATATGCATAGTGGTGCCCTGTGGTGCATTGTAATCCAGGTGCATTGTGCCCTAGTGGTGCCCTGTGGTGCATTGTGCATTATGCATAGTGGTGCCCTGTGGTGCATTGTAATCCAGGTGCATTGTGCATAGTGGTGCCCTGTGGTGCATTGTAATCCAGGTGCATTATGCATAATGGTGCCCTGCAATGCATTGTAATCCAGGTGCATTATGCATAGTGGTGCCCTGCGGTGCATTGTAATCCAGGTGCATTATGCATAGTGGTGCCCTGCGGTGCATTGTAATCCAGGTGCATTATGCATAGTGTGCCCTGTGGTGCATTGTAATCCAGGTGCATTATGCATAGTGGTGCCCTGCGGTGCATTGTAATCCAGGTGCATTATGCATAGTGGTGCCCTGCGGTGCATTGTAATCCAGGTGCATTTTGGACATGTATTGAGAGTGCATTATACAAAGTGGTGCCCTGTGGCACATTGTAATTTTGCTAAACATATGCATGGTGTGCTGCCATGTGTTAGAGACTTAGAAACAAAAGCGTTGTGGTGCTTATGCATGTAGTGGTGCCCTATGGTGCCTTGTAATCCAGGTGTCATTACATAGTGGTGCCCTGTAGAAAACAATGTTTTCCATGTGCCCCTGTGGTGTATACATTGGGACATATCTGCATTTTTCCATCCTGCAATGCAGCTCACCCACAGCTCTGCTTCTCTCTATGTTTCTACCCAACCAGTTTCGGAACTGTATGTAGGAGGGGCTGAGCTGAAAGACTATATGTTCCTCAGAACCACTAGCCAGTTTGGGCCTTGCTCCCCGAAAGAGTAATGTCACAGAGTCTCAGAACATGTTACAGACCTGGCCCCTAAGTGAAGGGCTCATGGCTCCATGGTCTCACATTGTACTGCTAAAAGCATCCTCATATTTTATCCTGGCAGGACTAGGTGTCTACTCACCTCCCAAGTTATGATTCATAGAAGGGCACACATGAAGAGACAATTCTGGATCTTTGTTTTCTTTTTGGTTTACTGGAAATGTATTGCTACACAACAGACCTTAACATGCGGTAACATCCATTATGAAACAGCAATGCTCAACTCTCACCCACTTGGAGCACTTCCTCAGTTCTTACTCTTCCCAGGCCTAACCTGCTAGGGAGAAGGGTTCCATGACCATCCCCAGCAGGGGAAGGCCATTATCTTAATATACTACATATTCCTGGCCCCAGGAACTCCCATAGGGACCATGACTGAAGCACTGCACTACACTGTTCTCTAGGACTCTGTCCCAGCTCTCAGCAACCACCTCTATCCTGCAGGGCTCTATATACAGAATGCCTTCTATATACTGTACATCTTCTACTAACAGGGGAAAGGGAGCCCTCTAGTGGTCAAATAGGGAACTGTGCCTCTCTCCACTATAGTGGGAGAAGAAATATTAGAAAATGTTTCTTTCTAACACTCCTTGCATTTGGTGTAAAGAAATTAATGAAATGTTACATTTTGACATCTCAATGACATTAAAAAAAATGTTAAAGCGTGCACTGCACATTAGAAGCACAAGGACAGAACTGACACTTCCCAGTAAAATGTGGCTTTTTACCATGTAGGAAATGTGAACCAGTCATTACTGATATACAGAAGTTTAAATCTGAACTCCATATTTCCTTTCACTTTAAATAGTTAGTTTGGGCCAGCTTTGCCCAAACTATTTCCATAGCTTTCTCTAAGAACTTGAAGCCTTTTCTGAAATTTTTTGTAAAAATCAGTTTTTGCTAGAAAATTACTTAGAATCTGCAAACATTATATATATTTTTTTAGCAGAG